GCTGGGAGCAGGTTAGGCAGGTCACAGCGGGTTGGGGTTGACGGGATGAGGCGCTTCGCTTGCTGGTGAGGTGAGTGCAGAGCTGGTCGGGTCGGCGTCCCGGCTTTGGGAGTGAAGCCAGTGTGAGACAGCGGTGGAGACGTGCAGTTTCCTCCTCGTAAGCGCTGTCCTGCTTCAGCGGTGTTAAAGACTCTTCCCTCTCCCAAGTAGAACCAGATATTGGCGTTCTGTTTCCCAAGCGGGATAGATGGATGGGTTGCTAGCCCTGTCTTGGTTGGTCTACCAAGAAAGTTTTCTTGACTACCAAGAAAATCCGTTGCAGGGGTCTGTTGCTGTGGTAGTGTTGCCGGTTAAATGTTTCGTCTGGGCTGTCTCACTACGCTTAAATGCAGACAAAAGCAGTCGAAAGTCGTGTTGCTGCCTCCCTGGTGTTCAGCAAACCAGAAGGGCTTATTTGTCTTTGCAGTAATAATGGCTGATATTCTTGAGGATTAAGCACAAGAACTCTTTTTGTGTTATAGCTAAGCATGTTAGTAATTTCAAAAAGTATCTTCCGTTCATTTTTGACCATGGTATTTGCCTAGTCAGAAAGAGCACAGATAGGCCTAATTGGGAGGTTGGTGAGAATTACCTTTAAGGCCTATACTGTACTTTTTCATTTGGCCCTTGAATGCTTACAGTTGACTGAAGCTTATAGCTGAACTTAGCCTTATACCAGTGTTGAGTAAAAAAATGCATGCATGCGTAATTGTGTGCACCAGGAACATTTCTCTTGATGACAGGGTTTGCATCATGCTTACGTGCTTGTCACCCTGCTAGATAGTGCCATCTGCAGGTCATGTTCCCATCGTTGACTTCAGTGCGTGTGGTCTAGATAGACAAGTAATATAAATTTAATTGCCTGTGTTAGGTGCACAAAACTTGTTTTTTTATTGACCGTGAGCATTTTATTCATGTAATCTTGAGAATAGAGTGGGTGAGCTTACATTTTTACATAGATGTGTTTATTTGATTGTTATGCACAGAACCTGCATGTAACAGTGTAAACAATATATGATTTAATGTAAATTATTGTATGTGTGTTATTTGTATATAATACACTGCACTGAGGACTCCTTTAGCATTGTGAATCTTTGCTTGAACCGAGCAGCTCATCCATATGAATTCAGTGCAGGGTGGAAATTAACAGTTTCAAAAATAGTACAGAGGAACATTTCAGTGGATTTCCAATATTTGAACAAACAGCTTTAAAAAACCCAAACCAATTCTTTCCCAGTTGTCTTTTTAACTATATGAAATGTAAGTATTTTGATTTGCCAGGTGCTACCAGCAGGTTCATGCAACAGGCTATTTAAGACAGCAGAATTTTTGTCTGCTACCCAGAGTAGCAATAACAGTATTTGAGGGAAAAGTAACCATTAAAAAAAAGCCAAAATTAAGTCCATGGTGTTAATGAAATCTCTGGACCTACTGATTCTAAAGTGTTAGTTTTAATCATATATTGACTGTATTCGAGCCTTATACCAATTAAACAACTGTTTATTGACAAACCTTTGTTTTTAAAACATATGTGCTGTTCGTCATGGAGCCCATGGAAAGTTAAATTGAATTTGCTTGTTATGTGTAATTTAAGTTTGGGTATAGGTAAGAGCAGGGTTGTGTGCTAGACCTTCATTGGAGTTTTTCCGTTTTGCTTACTTCTATCTTTAACACCTTGCAGCCTATACCAATTTACAATCTGTGTTTTAATTTGCAACCTATATTGATTTACAGTCAGGAGTTTGTTCAGTTGTCCTATTTCACATAGTTAAAAGACTGGAATGCATATCTAAAATTATTTTAATGGGGTTGGTTGGATTTTGCTGAATAGAACTACTGGATAATTTTTAAGAAAATACATATAATACTCTCTAAACAATTAGATACAAGATTAGTAAATTCTAAAACCTTTCCTCATACAGGATGTTACCAAGCTGACGCCTCTTTCACCAGAAGTCATCAGCAGACAAGCAACAATTAATATAGGTAAAACCAAACCTCTGAA